CGCTATAATTCACAATGATTCACGCACTTACTTACGGTCGTTCTTGACTCAATTGTCCGTCTCTTTCTGTCTGCAATTCTATATCGATTAATTGTCTGGCGTACTTATATACAAGAATAGAGGGAGTCTAGCAAATACTGGATTGTTCATGATGTTCCCCGATCTTTCTAAAACGCATTACGTGTTTCCAGCATCATGTGACTTCCGCTGTCGTAACAATATTTTTTGTTAAATTGATTTCTTGAACCTATGTGTTTTTCTAATATCATAATTGGAAAATACCGCGTGTCTGTGATTTTCGTTAATGCCAAGAGAATGTTTAAATTCTGACATTGAAACATTTAGTAGAGTTATGGATGGATTTTTCATGGAAAAAACAATGAAGACCAAAAAGACTCACACTATGGCAAGAGAGATAAGACATAGTCTAAGTTTTCGAGAACACAGTTTGACTTCAACCCGTGTTCCTGACATAGCTTTTCCTGGTGTGTCACAGGTACATAGCGTGAGTATGTTTTAATTTGATTATATTGAAATATTCGCGAGTTAGTATAACTGTCAGTAGCACACGGCATATTCATAAATATTGGTTGAGGTACAGTAACAAATAGACACGTGGTGAACACAATTTTTTATTTGGTTCTGATAAAAATATCAGTCAAGCATATTGGGATATTTTAATAAGCAAACAGTTTTACTGAATAACTTCATAACATTAATATATTATAAAATACAGTTTTGAGACATGAAAATGCTGACTGTTAGTGTAATAGAGAGTGTGATACCTTTTAATTCACGCCATGACTGTTACCTGATTTGTAAGCGGAAGAGAGTTCCTAAGAGAAGACAATGGAAGCATTGACAGAAGCAAATGGTCAAAGGTGAGGTTGGCATGCTTAACACGAGTCAGTTCAATAGTGTAGGGTACAAAAAAGTATCGATCTCACCATTCCTTTATACTGGATGGGGATGCTGTCTGTATGACAGGGATATGATAGGCTAGGGAAGTGGCTGGGCCAGAGCATATGGCATGAGTGTTCCAGTTGACCAGAAAGGATATGGCAGTGAGCAGCATGGGCACAGGTAGCTGGTCAAATGGAGACTGTAGAAAGTCCTTTGATTCTTCAGACACATGTTCCATGGGCAAGAATGAACATGAATACACGTTAAGCCTATGGACATGACATTTTAATTTTTGAAACATAATCACCCACCCCCAGTTGCTCAGCGGTAAGTCTGAAGGCTTATAACGCCAAATATAGGTTTCGATTCCCGTTGCAGGCACATCACAGATAGCTTATTGTGCGGCTTTGTGTTAACAAGTTTACCGTTGTACTGTTCCAACTAATCTCATTCAACTACTGCTATTTCTGTTCTCTTACTCCTACCTATTTAAAGTGGCGCTAAAACAAATGTATGAATATTTTCACTTGTTTATTCACTTGTTGTTAAGCGCAAAGGTACACAGTGGGCTATTTGTGCTGTGCTCACTATGAGTATTGAAACCCATTTTTAAAAGCGTTAGAAACCTCCACATTGAACATAACATAATATTTAAGGACAATAAGGGACCTGTTGGTCCATCTCGACTGTCCCATCCTAAACTATTATAAAAAAAACCCTTAAAGCCAGCCCTTATCATTCATATAGTTATTAAGCTTTCTCTTAAATTCAGTTAAATTTACTGCCCACACAACACCCAAAGGCAACCCACAGAGGCCAACCACCCTGTTAGAAAAATATAACTGGCTTAAAGCTGAAGATGACTCCTATCTTGCCAAAATTTAATTTTGTGTCCCAAGTCCGATTACTCTCGTGTGAAAAAAAATGATACATCAACACTCAGGGGAGCTGCAACGGTATAAAAAAAAAAAGGAATCAGAGAAAAAGCAATACAGTAAGTACGAGATATATTTGTATATTAAATTGTCAATCATTATGGAACTAAGCTACTTTTTCATAATGACAGAAGAAAGTGTAATTAAGGTACAGTTTTCATCAAAAAACAAGTCATAAAGGAATACAAAAGAAATGAAAGTATATTTTTTATAAAATTATAAGCTTATGTTAATTTACTTTTGAATACATTTTAATGTTTATCATATGCATTAAAAGGCATTTTCTACGTGCAATTTTCAAGAAAATATGTATTTAATTCGATATATATTTATGTTTAATTGAAAAGTGGTATCTGTATGTTTTCATTACAGATTCTCTGAATAATAACATCCTGAGGATGGACGAAACCAGCAGTTTGTTTGTTTTTTTTTAACTTCGCGCAAAGCTACATGAGGGCTATCTGCGCTAGCCGACCCTAATTTAGAGGGAAGGCAGATAGTCATCACCACCCACCGCCAATTCTTGGGCTACTGTTTTACCAACGAATAGTGGGATTGACCGTCACATTATAACGCCCCCATGACTGAAAGGGCGAGTATCTTTGGTGGGACGGGGATTCGAAGCCACAGATTGCAAGTCGAGCGCCCTAATAACCTGGAGGAGTTGGCTGTTAGAATCAAGATCTTGAAGTGATCCTCAGATTCAGGTTATATGTAATACTGTTTACTGATGGGCTAGAGAGAGAGAGGTGGAACGTTTGATAGTCGTACCGATGGAAAGGACTCCTTCAAAGCTTATGGTGGGTTTTAAATTGATCATAATACTATGGAAGAAAAGATCCTTTATGGCTATTTTCAACATTTTATACATCATAGACGGTCCAGACACCCCTCCTTTCATACAGGAATACAAACGTAATTGATCGCAAAAAATAATTGAATATAATATTTCTGCCACTTGCATCTCTATTTTTTTTTATTGATTTCTACTTAATGCTTTACTTTTCGTTTAATTTCATTTTTTTAAATCGCAAACGGATGGTTCTGATCCCTTAGAACCCTCCCCTGATATATGCACAACAAAAAATAACTCTTTTATGCTTGTAAACTTTGCATTCTTCCCCTTAACTTTTAAATATGCCTTCTAAATTATAACATATATATTTACATGTTGAACCAGGATATGTTTCAAGCATTGTATTTATAGCATAATGAGCATATTCAAACAGGAATGACCAGCTATTGGGTGTTATTTTCAGTTTGTTTGTGTAGAATATTCATGCAAACCTACACAACGACTATCCATGCATAGCCATCTCTAATTTTGAACTGCTACAGTAGAGAGAAGGTGTGCAGCTAGTCAATAACCGCTACCTTTTGTTTGATTGGGATTTGACGTCACACTCGTACAGCACACCCAAGATTCCAAAGTGTGGACCGAATTTTTGTGAGACAACCAGACGCGAACTTCGAATCCTCGATCTTACAGTCCGAATACGCTAATTACTAGGACACACTATTTTGTTTCTCAGTCATAATTTAGAAAAAGTATTTAGTTCAGTTTGCCCTTCCGTTATATTGTTGTATGGAATCAAGAAAACTTACATAAAATGTAGGTTTGAGCACTGGCTTTTCTATATATTAGAAGTTGTTATATAAGGAACCACTTATTTTCTATGTGGTTTTTCGCTAACTTGCCCTGTTAAAAAGATACGCACACGCACTTGTATAAGATAAGTAATACCCGGGTGTACACCCTCAGGGTCCACTTAGTATGGGTGCAAAATTTCAGGTTTCTAGTTCTTTGGTCTTACCGCTATGCTGGTTACATATTCTTTTCTATGTGGTTTTTCGCTTGCTTACCTCACAAAAAGATGCGCACGCACATGGATAAGTAATAATACCCAGGTGTATATCCTCATAATCCACTTAGTATGTGTGCAAAATTTCAGGTTTCTAGGTTCTTCCTCTTGGAGTTATGGCGGTGAAACACACACAGACAAACGGACATGCCCTTTTATTATTGTTACGATAGCGGAAGTCTCGTGACGCTGGGAGCATGCGCGCTGGAGTTTCTGGAAGGATCATGAATTTTCCTGGCAACTCTATTTTGTTCCAGGCACCCTCTTTTTTTAGTATATAAGCCTGGCAAATAAAGCCAGCAAAAAAAAAGATAGAATTGCATAGATAGATATAGAGATAGATAATTGAGTCAAGTGAACAGTAGGCACCCTAAGTAAAGTGTGCGAATCGCTGTGAATTATAGCGTGTGTTTATAAAAGTAGTTAAGTTAAAGTGACTGGAAATTCTGTGTATTGCAAAGTTGTATCGAGAAAGAATAAACTAGTTTTATTTAAGAAAGGACTTGTATCGCTGAAGTTCTTCGGAAAGAATTTATACCGGAAATGAACAAACGAACAGAGACGTAACATTATTATAGATTTACTTTATATTTAAGTGTGAAAGACCACTGTATTGTTTTGATGGCACTGTTTTATTTACTATGGGTGCCTGCACGAAAGGGCAAGAGGGCGCATTTACCCGCCTTATATTTCATAACAAATTGCAGGTATTATGATGTCAACTTAACGTCGTAGTTAAGCTAAATATTTTTAGTAATTTTTATCAAAACTGTAAATTTGTGTTTGGGTTTAAGCACACATAACGCATATTATTTTAGTCTGTTGATTTACACTCTAGTCCCCCGATGGGACAGCAGTAAGCCTATGGGCTTACAACACTAAAATCCGGGGTTCGATTCCCCCGTTGTAGACACAGCAGATAGCGCGCTGTGGCTTTGCTCTAAAACAAACATATTTACATTGTAAAAGCTGATCGCTTACGTACGTTTTGCCCCTCCCCGTGAAAATATTTCTGTGGGCGCCCATGTTTATATATATATATTAAAAAAAGTATTTGCTTTTATTAATCACAATCCTTATAAACATTTCCAAATATTCACTTTAACTTTATTTCGCGGTTCTTGTTTGTAATTAAGCACAAAGCTACACAATGGGCTATTTGTGCTCTGCCCACCACGGGTATTGAAACCCAGTTTCTTGCGTTGTAAGTCCGCAGACATACCGCTGTACCACTGGGGGACAATCACCACGCTACAAACAGAGAAAGAAAGAAGACAGAGAGAAAAACACTTGGAGAACTTGAAATAAACATCGGTTTCTTGGCCTATCTGTTTAGAGCAAGTTCCAACATTTATGAAGTCTAACCGGCACAAAATCTTGTGTTGTGGCCAGGCTACTCAAATTTCACGTGATCAAGCCCTAGACCTGAGACTGTATGAAATGTGGTCATCATCCTTACTTGGCCTGGGTTCTTTGGGTTATGTTTAAATGTGAATATTCGGGTGAATGAATACTTCAGGCTATGTATGTGAGCGTTCATCAAACCGGTTAGTAGAAATACCACTCCTGTTGGTATGTTTATGACGTTTTGTTAGTCTTCGGACTCGGAGTGTTATCAACTGGGCATTTGTTAGGCTAAAGTGAGTTGTGTATCAATTTACTGTAATTAAAAACAAATAATATAATAAATTAGTCATATCTTCTTCGCAACTAATATTTTGTAAGTACTATTACTACTATAGGCTATTACTATTAATTCTTTAAAGTTATTAGTAATTTTACTTTACACCTGTTGTGACATTAATGTTCTTTCATATTTACGAGTATATTGAAATTTTGCTAAGACTTGAATTATGATAAATACTATCACTAACATAAGTTAAGGCTCGATAGAGTCAAGATATTACTATTCAATAAAACTCATCCCTAACCTGTGGATATGATTAGGAAATGCTTAATTTAGCTAGGCTTAAAGTTAGTCGTAACATCTACCTCCATCTTCAGCTATAGCATGGGTAGTACTGTACGGTGTACTACTTCTACCAAAGTACTATGCAATAATGTAACGTTGTGAGACAAGTTGCAAGATCGAAAGCCGCAGGTAGGTAGCGTACATTAAGTTTTTAGTAATCCTGTTAGTGTTAGTTAAATTAACGTACTACTACTAGGTTAGGTTACTGTTACTAGTGTTAATAACAACTTAATTGTAAATCTGACGCAGAACGAAAGGCTCAATTTGAAAGTCCCCTGTACTGTAGTAAGTAGGTTTTGAGATTGACAAGTATTGAATACTTTTAGCCTAAATTTTACGTACGAAATTAGTCGTTTATAGTTATACGAAGCTAGGGCTAACAAATGATAACCTACCTTTGCAACGTTATTTTAATTCATATAGTGTACTATAAGTTATAACAACACTTGCGCAGTAACTTTAGTAAGTTAGGCCTATACAGTAGTATTGTGAAGAATGAAGGGGGTCATTTTCTTTGGTAGTTCAATTTTGCAAGTCACAATAACTTTAATTGGATAATTACTCAATTAGTGTCATTGGTGAACTTAGTTAAAGTGATATGTGTTTGACAGTTACAAAAATTATAATAACCGCTCTCTTTAGTTTAGGCTTTGTAAATTATAGTTGTAGTTGCACTTGCAGTGTTAGATTGATGAAATATAATAAAGTTATTAAGTATTACTTTAACTTACAGTTTATTTATTAATATAAAACAATTAGAGAAGTTTTACCTTCTCCTGAACATTTTTATCTCGCTCTCAGTCTCAACACTTTAAGAATCTGTTAATATACAGTAACGTTTGGCATGCCCTCATTGTTGGGGGACTAAAACACATGGATTTTTAAAATATTCACTGCGCACTATATATTTCAGTGTAAGACTAATATAACAAAATAAAATAATAAGTGTGATATTTTACTATATCAAAGAGTTATAAAATAAATGTTATATAAATAATTGTAGTAGTACAAAATTTAAAAAGTTGTGTTGGAATACTAACTTAACAAGAGATGTTAAAACTGCAGTCATCTGTACTGTCACATTCAAGATTAGACCTGGGAAGTTAATTGATATAATTGCCTAACAGCATCGATCATATCAGTTAAGTGTTATGTAAAATGATCAAAATTACATTAAATTGATTGATGTCATGAAAATAATCATCTAACTAAAAATAATGATTAGTTGAATGCAATCACTGAATGAGCCTGACATTTAATCAATTAGCAACTTATACTAATTACTCAACTCTGTTCAATATGTAATTCTGTACCTCTGATAAATTGGTGAATATTAATAATGACATTAATAGGGGCATAGTCAGAAAATTGGTTAAGTTTACTGAAGATAAATGTCTGTAATGAGCATACTTTGATTTTATAGAGACAGATAGATTAACATGTCAAAGATGGCATTTGATTATGATAAGTATAAGGGTATTGTAGGTTATAATGAAAATTACATCTATAATGTAAATGGTAATTCTCTTAGTTATGCAGATGAGTAACAAATCTAAGAATATTGATTGAAGCAACTCTTAACTTGTTGAGCTGGACAATTTAATGAGTATAATTAATTATCTATGAGCATAGACTACATTAAATAGTGGTATGTATGAACTGATTTATTAATAGTGTTTCTGATTATTACTGTTTTTAATTATATCAACAATCAATTAGTAAAGTTTCTGATTAAATTGAATGTAACAAAAATAATCAATTAATCAAAATTACGGTTCCCAGTTATCACTATTTTTAATTGTTCCAACTATCCAAGTATTGCTTTTATGTTTGTTTGTTGTTAAGTGCAAGGCTTAAGACACCTTTCTGGTAGCACCCACTGGCAACATTTGTTTTTCTCCTGTGTACTTGCTATGGTATAAGGAACACTGTGCTAATCTTTTAATCATATTTAATCCATTAATGAGGCCATCAATTAATTGATTAGCAAATATCACATTTTGCTCAACTCTACTCTTAAGCCTTTGAGACTGTTCTGTTTACAAATTGGACAGGGTTTATAGTAAAGCTACTTCTACTACTGTAGGTAATATTAATAGCATGATTCCAAGGATTGGTTGAGATCTATTAACTTGTTCTCTTGAGGCAGTTTTACTTTTCCAATATGGTAGTAAATCTGTGAAACAAATTGCAATCTAGAGGTATGTGGCTGTAACCTTAGAGAAGTTTAAAAAGGGTTGTTGAATATTTGGAAGGATCATGGCTGTATTTAATGAATAGTTTTCTGTTTGTTGAGGAAAGTTAGGAAGCAGGATGTTTTTGATGGGTCAAAAGCTGCTTGATGTTCCATAAACAGTGTTTTTATTATGAGTTTTTTATGTTGGTGAGCACATCTAATAATTCATTTCTGAAATAAGACTCAAGTTATGCTAAGGGTTTAAAATCTAGATATTCTTAGCACTTCTGCTGGCTTGGCTTTCTGTGATAATTTGTAACCCTCAACAATAAATATTAAACATCAACTGTGTAAATTTTTATCTGCTGTACTCTTAGAGATGTCTGTACAAAACAAAACTTGAAAGAATCTATACTACCCACATACACTAGATAATCAGGTAAACTGTTCCACAACTAAGGAATTCTAACACAGAAATTTTCTGCCTGAAAGAAAACCTATAAACTAACCAATTAATCAAAATATATGATTAATGTAATGAAAATAATCAACTAATAAAAATTAGTGTTTCCAATTATTAATGTTTTTCATTATTCCAACAATCGATTAATTGAAATTATGATTAAATTAATTGTTGAGAAAATAATAAACAAATCAAATTTAGTTGTTCTGATTATTACTGTTTTGCATTATTCCAACAGTCAATTAATCAAAATTACAATTAAATGTATTGTCACGAAAATAATCAACTAATCAAAATTAGGATTTTCAATTATTTCAAATATTGAAGTAATTAAAATTACAATTAAATGTATTGTCACGAAAATAATCAACTAATCAAAATTAGGATTTTCAATTATTTCAAATATTGAAGTAATTAAAATAATGACATTATGTTTGTTGTTAAGCACAAAGCTATATAATGGGTGGGGGAGGGTGCTTTCTGATTTAAGTCTCAGGTTTAACTCCCATTCCCATCAATTTATTCATACTATGTTATTGCAAAACTATTTAAAGCTATCTGCCACTGTCAATAATTTTGAACTGCTGACCAGAGGGAAGGCAACTGGCTCATAGCACACACCAACAACTCTGGCAACTTAAGTATTAAATAAAGTGTAAATTTAGTGTTGTTTTTTATTAACATTGTGTTATGTTTCTAATTCATAATTGTGTAACTATTCTTAAATGTAGGTGGAGCCCCGGGGTGAGATTGACAGATAGTGGAGGGGCCCAGGAGAGTGAACCCTAATACAATTTTTTTCAGAAATTTTAAACTATATTATTTAATGTTGTATAAACATGCATGGATTTAGGGGAGGGTTTCATGAGGGTTTAAACCCCCACTCCATCCCTTCTGTCTTTGTTTTTAAGAAACTGACTGTATTAATGTTGTATAAGTATGCACAGATCTAGGAGGTTCAAACCCCCCCTCCATTTTTTTATATTTTTTTTTCTCCAGAAATTAATTAACAAACAGTAAGTAGTATCAGAAAGTAAAATTAGATATCAGTGTTTTTATTTGATTGGTCTAATATTTACTGTAAAAAGTTTTGTTTTGTTTTCAGTTTTTGTGAATTCAACATAGCTTGAGTTTAAAGCAATCAGATTATGGCCTTAGCCAGTAACTGGTTATTTCTAAATGAATACAACTATACGAACGTCAATTAAACATTGAGAGAATCAATTTTCACACCTTGACTTTTTCCAAACACTAATATGTGTGTGTGCTCTAGACTTTAGAAATTTGTTTTTATCTGAACTTGTAGTGCATACTGGAGAAATTTACACATTTGGACAATAAAGATAAAAAAAATGAATGACCTTTACGGATAATGATAAACTATTTCAGCCAACATTTTGCCATTAAGGCTTCATTGGGAATATTAGCACAAGAATTGTTTACAGTTAGAATTGTGAATTCTACTTTTATTTTGTTTATCATTCATTTATTATTCCTTCTATTTTCATATTATATATAAAATATATATAGTGCAAATAGCTCATGACCCCCCTTGAAACCTGCTCGCAACCCCCTTGGGGGTCACAACCCCCCTTTTGAGAAACACTGCTCTAAACCATTTCCAGTAATTCATTATCCTTTCTTACATAAAGATACCAAAACTGTACACAGTATTCTAAGCGTGGCTTAACTAGTGATTCATATAGAGAGGTAATTACTTCTTTCTGACTTGTTATTAATTTCTGTAAATTAATCTTAATATTCTGTTGGCTTTACTGCTTGCAACAGAGCACTGTTTTGTTGGTTTGAATGACTTATCTACTGTTATGCTAGTATCCTTTTCTTCAGTCTTGCTAAATATTGAGTAGGATCCCATCTATGTTAAACATGTGATCCAAACTATTATACCTAAAATGCATTACCTGGTATTTACAAT